CCTCCAATCCTAAAGAGTGTGTGGGAGGACTTATCTATGAATTTCATAATAGGATTACCCCGATCCCGTAGATATGAGGCTATTATGGTAGTAGTTGATCGCCTTTCAAAGTATGTACACTTTGTACCCTTGAAACACCCTTATATTGCCAAGTTACTTGTCAAGATTTTTGTGAAAGAAGTGGTGCATCTTCATGGGATACCCACTTCAATTGTTAATGATCATGACCTAGTGTTTATGAGCAACTTCTGGAATAAATTCTTCATATCACAGGAAACCACGTTGTAGATGAGTATGATGTACCATCCACAAATGGACAACGAAACGAAAGTGGTGAATCGATGCCTCAAAAACGTACTTGCGATATTTTATTTCAAGTGGAATGGTCAAAGTGGTTACCATAGGCTAAATACTGGTTTAACACCTCTTTCCATGAATATACTCAATCCACTTCTTTTGGGGTAGTGTATGGACGCAAACTACCTATTGTGATTCGTGATATACAAGGAGAAATTTGTGTGAAAGTCATACAAATTTGTGTGAAACAGTTGAAGGTACACTTAACTTATGCACAAGAACGTATAAAGGCTTTGGCAGATGAGAAAAGAACAGAAAGGAGTTTTGTAGTAGGAGAGTTGGTTTTCCTGAAGTTACATCCCTACAGACAGCATTCTGCCATGACTAAAATTAGTCATAATCTTCTGTTTGATATTTTGGACCTTTTAAGGTCCTTGAACGTGTTGGGGCAGTGGTTTATCATCTGAAATTACTTGTTTCAACATTTATTCATTCAATATTTCATATGTTGCTCCTTAAAAAGGTAGTTGGTGATTATAATATTCAACCTGAGCTACCCAAAGGCCTAGAAGCTTATGGTTCTGAATTGTTGAAGCCATGTGCCAAGTTAGCTTTACTTGAGGACAAGACTCATTTTTTATGTGACATTGATAGGGTCCAAGATGAAGATGGGCCAAGGAAAAGTTTGGTCCAAGATGAGGTTATGGAAAGTGTATTTCCTAAAAGAAAGAAGAATATGCAAGTTACTATGTTGGCACCGAGTTAGTTACGGGCAAGGAGTATGCATGTGGTTACATAGTGGTAAGAGAGAATTAGGGAGGGCAAGGAGTGTGCATGTGGTTACATGGTTCTAAAGTTATTATGATTGCTTACTCTACTATAGGAAAAGGTCGTGATATGAGACAAGTTCAATTTTTTCATCCAAGCGATATGGTCATATTACTCATTATTGTAGTAAAAAGTTGTGCAACTATTGTAAACAATGTAGCCACATTATTACCAAGTGTCCCACACGCCCACCTAAGTATCTTTCCTTTGTAAACTAGGTCATGTGCATGTCAGATATCAGCCTAACCCACCCTTTCTCGATGTTGACCATCGCTTGACAAATATTCACTAGATAGTTATGATTTCAAACCTACATCTCCTCCTTCTACTACTTTATCAAACATTTCTATTTTCACATGTTAATAAGGATGTTCATTGGGTCAAAGCAATGCAAGACAAGCTACACATTCTTCAGGAGAACTTTACTTGGGACATTGTTCCTTGTCCATATGGTGTTAAGCCCATTGGTTGCAAATAAGTATATTCTATAAAGTTGAATTCTTATGATACTTTAAATTGCTATAAGGCTCAATTGGTTGCTTTAGGCAACAAACAAGAGTACAGGGTACATTATGATGAGACTAGTTGCCAAGATGACTACAGTCTGAACAATGCTTGCTATTACTACTTCTAAAGGTTGGTCACTTCACCAAATGGATGTGAAAAGTATCTTCCTTCATAGTGACTTAACAAAAGATATTTACACAATTTTCCTTAAGGTTTGTTTTCTTTCTCTACTACTTCCGATTTAGTTTGATTCATGATTCAATACAGATATTTTGTAAGTACTATAATTTTCTAAATTAAATTTTAACTATCAACAAATTAATAATGGCTCAAAAACATTTTTCGTATCATAGAGATAACATACAAATATGTATATAATTACAACAGTGGCTCCAAATGGAGCTCATAATACAAAATCTTTACATAATGGTTACTTCAAAACAATAGGTTCACACTAAAACTTGAACTTCTACAACTAAGATACATATTCCAAAATCTTCAGCCCAGACTATTTATTAGCCAAACTCCTCAGCAGGTAAAGTAGACACTCCACCTGTCACTCCTGCTCATGTACCATAGTACAATCATTGCAACACACACGTAACAACACAAACAAAAGCAAGGGTGAGTTTATATAAATAAAAAATAATCACAGGATATGAGTACATCAAAATCATCAGTACAATTCACAACAATCAGCACAACAACTTCAATTAGTTTATGTAGCATGTCCAACCCATTTACAGCTGATGAATGCAAATGCAGCGATTCAATTTCCATCTGGTTTCACAGCCTAAGTAATCTAGAGGAACTATTCCAGTCTAGGAGCGACCCATCCAGGTATCTGGATCCAGATCAACACAGCTTACCGATTTATGCAACTATGGAATGATGAAAATGAATATGGTGCAGCAATGTATTCATTTTCATCCAGCATTGACAGCACATCCATACATATACCATCACAGCAAAATTAAGCATTTCGACATATAGCACACAGTAAAACTAAGTATTTTGCAGTATTACTTTAAACATCCCCAGCGTATATATATAACACAGTATTGCAACACATTATATTTTGCCATAGCTATTCAAACAATCATCATACAGCAGAGAAATATACTTAACTATACATACTTTAGGTTTTTTTTTTTAACCCTAGAATTTGTTCATATAACAGCTGGTCCTCATCTAGTACAAATTTATTTATCTCATGAACCCAAATCAGCTTAGATAAACAACTGAGAAATCTACTCAGCTATACTATTATCAGCTACACTACTATGGGTTTTAATATAGAATCTGACCATTCAAAGACTTATTCTTAGCTATAACGGGACTAAATTTCCAATTAACTCTGCAGTTGTTAAACGAATAACTTAGCTTAGATAAACTTCCCTTACCTGGAGCGAGTTTCAAGATCTTGTTTCTTGTGAGTTTCCAAAGAGGTAGATCAAGGATTTGAGTATGAGATATAGCTCAAACAATTCAGATCTACTCAGAATGAAATGTATAAGACTCTTGAGAAAGAGAAAGCAAGAAATAAGAGTAAAGACGAAGAACTAAGCTCCAAAAACTCACCTAGATCTTACTGAGATAAAAGATCTCATTTTAATTGGGAAGAAATTCAGCTTCGAGAAGATTTTCGCTAAGAAGAGAAAGTGAGAGAACAGAGAGAAACGAGAGAGAGAAACTGTCTGGTGAGAAAATGAATATTTTTTAGGCTGAGACTCTTTAAATACCCCTCCAGATCCGCGCTCACTCACTTGAGCAAACTAATTCTCACTTGAGCGAGCTCCTCTCAAGCCTAGGCGAGCTCACCTTCGCTTGGGCGAGAAAACCAGACAGTGGAACCTCCCCAATTTTTCTGCAATTCTTGCTTGAGAGAGCTCCATCTCGCCTGAGCGAGTAGCATTCTCGCTAAGCGAGATCGAGTCTAAAGAGCCACACAGTTTCCTGCTACTCTTCGCTTGAGTGGGTTTCTCTCGCTTGAGCGAGATTACCTTTCGCCTGAGCGAGATCTCTTCTCGCTTGGGTGAGGGGGCAGTTGGAGTGATCATATCTTGTCTCGCTTGAGCAAGATTAATCTTGCTTGAGCGAGAAAACTCCAGAATTCCATTATGCATGACTTAGTCTCGCTTAAGCGAGAATTACCTCACTTGAGTGAGACACTCAGCATCTAGAACTCTCAATTTCTTCTAAAATGGAACAATACAAGTCCGTGGCTATAATTATTTAGTTATCACACATACAATCATGCTTAAAACTCATTTCCTAACCCGCACTACCAACCACTTTCAGCAATACCATCATACATTATTGTAAATACATTGTTACCCATCCAGCAATTCTATAGCTTCCTCATAATCTAAGCATATATCGAACCATTAAAAAGGAATAATACTTATATATATATATATATATATATATATATATATATATATATATAATTGTTTGATATCTAATCAAATTCTGTGCTACTAGTCTTGCTCAACGATCAGTCAAACAGCACTGCAACTCAAAACTTCTATCCGGTAACTGCACAGCTTATTCATTCATAATCCAGCATATGGAATTTCATACTATCCAAATATATGTATTATAAATTAATAGGAATAATTCATTTATAAATATGTTGGCCTGACAAACACACCTCTAAATTTGCTTGTCTACGGTAATGTAGATTGGATTAGTTGTACTGATACTCAAAAATTGATCTCTAGTTGGTGCATGTTTCTTGTGATGCCTTGATTTCTTGGAAAAGTGAAATGCAAACTCGACTTTCTTAGTTCTCCAGCAAATTTGAGTATCAGGCTATGTCTACATCTTGTTTTGAAGTTATCTTACTTTGTGATCTTTTGATTGAGCTTGTTTTTCATGAACATACTAAACATATTATGGTGGATTGTCATTCTATTTGTGAAGCCTTTGAAAATCAAATTATCTCTCTTCAATATTACTTCATAACTTCAACTTGCAGGTATCTTTATCAAAGTTGTTCCATGACCATTTCTCATAAGCAAATTGATGCTCTTTGACCAACTGCATCAATTTGAGGGAGTGTTAATAAGAAAATTCTTTGTTATCACTCTTTCTTGTATGTATTAGGAATAAAATAAATTTCTTAATTGTACATAATTAGATTTTCTAATTTAGGTTCTACAAATTAGGAATTAGAATCCTTTTGTAATTAGGAGTTGTACCTTGTACTAAATAAAGAGGAATTCAAAATAAAAGAAGGCATCAAGCCAAATATCTTGACATATAGAAGACCAAACACCTCACAATCAACTCACGTCATGTGCCAATTGAAGTTGGTAATCTCAAGGTAGTATCACTCTAGGAGGAAATTTTGTTCCAATAACTACGAGAAATGTTTCCAATATGGAATAAATAATCAACATCAGTCACTTTGATTTGAAGAAATCTACATTTTGGCTGAAATTTCTTATACACCATAGCTGGTCTCTGCACATGTTACTCGAAAAAGTGTTAGTAGATAGATATGGAAATTTAGCAGTGCATTGATAGAGACAAAAAAATATTACTATACTCCTCTCTTTTTTCTTGTCTTTTTCTTTTCTTATCGTATATGAAGTGTGAATCAAAACACCCATTTAGGTGAAGAAGAATGAACAGGAGTTTGCCGGGGTCTGATAGTGTGCTCAGAGTTGCGCTTCATAATTGATGATACAGTTGGACTAAAATAGTCATTACTTCTCTGTGAAGTTGCTCCCTGAGAATGCATCTTCTTCCCATGAAGGAAGCTCCTATGGTTTTCTACCATTGTCCGGTGAGAAGCTTGGTTCCTTTGTGCAGTACCAAATCTATTGTAACTAACACAACTCTGACTCCTTCCCACTTGTTGACAGTTAACCTCTCTAGGTGTTGTATAATTGCGACTCTCAGCAGTTTCAGCCGAGTACATTGTCTCTCCATCACTACTATATTCATTGTTCATCTCTGATGCTTGTATGGGAGATGAACTGGACTGAACCATACTTTGTGCTGCATTAATAGAACCTGTTGAGGCAACTTCTTCGCTAGGAGTTGTTGTTCTTCTGTCTTGGCTTTGTTCTCCTAAACGGTTTTCAGGTAAAGGATCCTTGACAAAAATTTCAGCCGACTTTGGACGCAGTTTTTCAGTTGATTGTGACAAAACTATAGGTTGAGCAATTCTCGGTGGAAAATTGATGTCCAAAAGCTGTTTTTGTGTATTTTCATTTTTTCTGAGTGGTGCAGCATTTACTCTTGCTGATTCATATATTTCTGGAGTGGGAATTCCCTGCACATGCCCTGCATTTGGATTATTGATCATGCTTTCTTCGTCAGCAGTGTAAGCAACAGCAGAAGAACTTTGACCCTGATCCCTTGACTTCACATTGTTTGATGAAGAAGGAGTGTCATCATTATCAGCCTCCGGGGACTTGAAAACTTGCCCCAGTGTGAAGGAAGAACATGAATGCTCACTCCTTGGCCCAGTAGACATCAATCGAATGAGTGGTAATTTTGGATTGTTAAGGTCATCAAGGCTACCTTCCCAATGCTGGTTTAACCAATCACATATTACAGGTATTGGTATACCAAATTGCATGGGAAGATCCTTCATCGACGATGATGCGGATGAAGAAGTTGAAGAGGATTTAGTATTTGGTGATGTGGCTAATTTCATAGGATCACAAATCATAAATGCTAGATTGCCATGTACATCAAAACCTGCAGAACCCGGGTTCCATGGAATACCATCAGTTGACAGTTTTATGAGATTGTCAGTGGCTATGACCACCTTCCCTTCACCAACAGTGAGCTCCTGTTTCTCAGTGTAGCCTAGAAGGTAAACTACACTTCCCAGATCCAGATTGGTTTTACATGTCTTCAAGTAGTGAGGGTACTGACTATGGGAATTTGATTCTCCATCCACATGATCTAAACCCACTATTGTAAGATCTAATACAGAACTTGTGATGAAAAACCTGGGACCAAGTCAAAAGAATAAGATCAGCCATTGTTATAAAAAATAGTCTCTTTAAAAATTGCCAAAAGTCATGCTTTATGCTACAGATCCTTCTTTTTTCAACAAGAGGAAAAAATTACCAATGGTTAGTTTGGTACATCCATAAAAATGGGAATGAAAAAGTTGTGGACGAAATTTAAAATTGTTTATACTTAAAAAACTTCCCTTTATTTTATTTACCACTATTTTTAAGGGAATAAGTATATAAATAAGCAATGTCAATGAGATTATGAATTAATCCGTTGGCAAATCGACTAAAGATCTTCCTTTCAAGCAGTGTCCCTCTGGCGGGAAAAAAGGCAGGCTCATGCTGTACACCAGCATAAGGTGGCCAGATTTTAGTCAAAATCATATATAGCCAAAGTCACTTTAAAAGTGCAAGATCTTGATGGAAATTAAGATAACAAATAAAATAACAAAAGACAAACTAGAAAAATGAAATGAACCTTATTCCAAGTATACAGAGTGAACACAATCATAAAATAGAAAGATTCTGAAAAATTAAATGAAAGAGAATGAAATCAAACAAGTTAAAATGGAGCTGAAGGTAAAAAAAAAATGTGCACGTCTTTGCAAGCCCAAAGGAGCTCTAGCAAGTAGCAATACAAAACATGTAACCGATAAATATTGACAGTTCAGAATCCTAATTTTTTGTATAAGTTGACTGAGGAAAAGGACAGGAAGCAGTCATTTCAGTTAGAGAAGCAAGAAACAAATACAAAAAACATCTAGTCAGCAATTCTCAATTAACTGGTTTTAAGGCTAATCTTCCACCACAATAACTCAAAAATAAAGGTCAGCATTTACGGTTAATGCAGGTCATTTCTAACTTTAATTAAAGAATAGCACCAAAAATATCTAAGAAACTGCGCGTAAGTTTTGTCCTAGAAGTTATTCATATATATCAACAAGTAATAACTCCTGAAAATCCATGGATAAGGGACAAAGTAATCCAATTTAAGGTCAACTGTACACACTAAATGTGTGAATCTTTGATCACTGAGCCGAAACATTTTCAAGCCTTCTTTTAATTAGTAGATCTTTCTATAAGAAAATTTATGTCATCCATCTAGTCTTCATTTGAACATCCTGTGCAGAAAGATTTTTATCCAATCAGAGTGACATTGCATTAGTTTTTCAAAATTAGAATGGCAGGAACGGTTATGGTCTAAAAATACAAAAGCAATACAGAGAATAGTTTGTTAATTTTCTCATAAGAATAATGGTTAAAAGTTAGCCTGCAACAGTTAACAAGATGGCAACAACTAGTAACAAGGAAGCATTTTATGGCTGAGCAATCAGTGGAGATCCTAGAGCATATCTATGCGATTAAAAAAGGTTAATAACACGACTCTTTCTTTCCCTTTTATTAAATTATCATCAAACTGTTATTTTGTTATTAAATCACTCATAAATTAATTCTAATTTATTATAAAATTAGATGGTTAATTTGATGAAATGCTTAAACATCAAAACAGCACTTCAACGATTATTTTGTTATTAAAAATTATAGACGTCAGATACAAATCATTGATGAGCCTTCTTTTATAGCTTAAGCTTTTAGGCGTGTAGGTGTTTTGGGGTGATATCAATGTCTACAATTACGTGATCAAGAATATGATATTTGCCGCTTCTAACTAAGAGCTGGTCATCAACAATATAGAAGATTTTGCTGACTTCTTCCTGCTTCATATTGAAGTCTCTTCTATCGTTGGGTTAACCCATCAGTAGGGTGTTATGATATGTTAATTAGATACCCATAAGTAGTTCTATTTATAAAGTAGAAGGGATGAGGGGAAAATATCATGGAATTTTAGAGGAAGTTGGAGCCTTTGGACATTGGGAGGTGCAGGCCTTTGAAGTTTTGCAGTATTCAATTTTATTTTTTTTCTCCTTTAATGATCCAGTTTCTATCCATCAGAGCTACGATCTTGAAGCAGTGGGTACTGTATAATGGTGAATTCTGGAACTGTTCAAATGTCAACAAGAACAGAGAAGGAAATTATAGACATTGTTGAAGAAAAAAATTGCAGATTGGAAAAGAGAGATTGAGAATGATCAACATATTAGGGGACAAAGGAAAGAACTTACAAGAATTAGAAAAGAGCTTAACGAGAAAAAAGAACTATAGGAACCAAAAGAAAGGAGGTTGAGGCAGCATCAATGGTGAGTAAACAATCACGGTGGAAAAGAAACCAATAGTGCGGAAGCAGAAAGTGAAAGGAACAAGCATTTTGATAGATGGGGTGGAAGAAAAATATGATCGATCAATGGAGGAGAAGGAAACAAGGCAAAATAGGGAATAGATTATAAAAACCATCTTTTGGGACAAGTGAAGGGCAGGGAAGAAAATTGTTTCCTCAGATAGCACAATTAAGAAACACAATAGGAGAATAGAATAGAGAACTGGGGGTTGTCAACGGAAAGAAAAGGGCAAAGGCTTAATCCTTCTTCTAATTTATTGGATTAGACCCAACAAAAAGAAGTGGAGAATGACACCAACAATCAACAGCCACAACTTGCAACAAGAAGAAGTAAAGTTGGCTACATAGATCACACCACACCTTAAAAACCAAATTTTCAAAAATTTACTTAAAAGGTTTTTTTTTAATAACTTTATCTGAGGTTCTTTTGGATCTCTCTTGATCCTTTTTACGGATCAAGAGTCATGTAATTCACTTTTCTTACTAACACCTCTAAAGATCTTCTTTGTATATGACCAAACCACTTTTGATGATTTTCAACGGGGTCATGGGATCTCAGCTCAGTTGCTGAGGTATTATTACTCTTCTTGAAGGATGTAAAGATAGCAGTGTAAAAGGCTCATTATGTACATACTGTTAGAAATTTGGTAGACACTGGAACTGAGAGGTTGGGTGATAGGATGTAAAGCAAAGGTATTTGAGTGAAAAGAAAGAATTAGTGACTTAGGATACAGAAAGAATTCACTTATGATTCATTGATTGAAAATAGATATACATAGACCTATATATAGGTTTGATACAGTTTGATATACAACAGAAAACAGAATACAATCAGTTCACTTCATTATTAATTCTAACAGTATGCACATAATGTGACTACCCTGATATCCAACAAGTATATGCAAAACAGAGCATAGAGTGACTTGTTGAATGTTAAGCCATATGTATCAATGTCTTAGAAATATCTTGAAATACTATTTTTGGGCTGATTTTAAGCCACTACAAATAGCAGTATGAATTTTCTGAAAAAGAAAATATTTATTATAATTTTTTATTTTAAAGTAATAAATATTTTTTAATAAAATTTTATGAATTGATGCTAATAAAACTGTTTCTTTATTTTTGATGAGGGGGAAAGGGAGTACAAAGGAGGGGTCAGCTAAGCCCCAATGTCACCCTATGTTCGGAATCATCTACAAATAATATTTGGCATGAAACATATCTATCTCGTCATTTGCAAATCCTAACATTCACAAAACATTGAATATTTCTTCAATTTCCAACTTAAAGCAACCACATCACTCTAGAATCTAGTCTAGAAACAAAAACTAAATTAAATTGAAAGAGAAACAAAAATTGAGTCGAGCAATTCCAACACAATCCTCATGAAAAATTGGCAATTCGTGACACATGTATAACTTGGTCAGAAAAGTGGATAATAATTATATCCTTTTAGATAAAGTTATCAAATAAAATTATATCACACACACATGCATTTCAAACTTACGACTACTAAATATTTATTTCATCGAATTTTGATATTCACTAAAGTTACATCATACACTCAGTTTAACACTAAAGACCTCTCCTTCGAAAAACAAATACCGAAGCAATTTTTTTTTTCAAAATGATTATAACTTATTGATGAATATTTATAACTATTTTGAGAACACTTGTTTAAAACAAATTAAAATTATTAAAATACATTATTAATATTCTTAAAATATAAGTTAAAAATTAAAATTAGAATAAATAATATTATTAATATAACATTTTTAATGTGTGCCACACAATAAAAAATATAAATTTTATTAAAAATTATAATATTTAATATTACTAATACATTGAATCTCAAAATGTTTAATAACAAATATTATAAATAAATTTTTATTACATATCTTTAAATAAATATTAAAAAAATTTAATATAATTTCTTTTATTCGTTATTTTCGTAACAAATAATAATTATAATTAGCAAGAGCTTGAATATTTTATAAGGCACCTTTGGGGAACGAGAGTAGCAGCGACGCTGTTGTGGAGGCGAATCTGGGCGGTGTGAGCGGCGGCGGCGGAGGGGAGGTTGGCGTGGGTGGTCAAGAGGAGGTTACGATGGATCAAGAATCCGACCCGATTGGAAGAACCCGAGATAGTGGCCATTGCTTGGCCTTTCGCAGAGAAAATTGCTGCTTTCATTTTCTCTGACTTGGTCACCCCTTTGCAGAAACACCACGATTCTCTTAGACTAACCATTGGATACAACTCCTCAAAACGTTGGATCTGGCAAATGTGGCATCTTAGTTAGTGTGATAGAGATAATGAGCGAAATGTTCAATGTTGTTGGGTATGGGGCATGTCAATTTTATGTTGTCTTCTCTCTCACACATATCCGAATGTGTGTGTAACGAGGTGGTCGTGAAAGGAGTAAAGAGTGGGATTGATGGATAGAACGTGAGAAGTGTTTGTTTTAGCTATTATGACTTTTGGAGATTTGGGTTGTTCCTTGTCTTTTAGCGGAGATTAGAGAGGGGTTGCTTCGTTGATGGAACTAGAACGTCCACAAAATTAATTCCTTTTCCAATTGTTACAAATTTGAGCATGTCTTTGCATTATAATTAATCTTTCTTATCGTTAATCATTTTATTTTTTTTGTCGGTAAAAAATACTAACAAAATAATATGTGTTATATTAAGTAACAGGTAAAACATTTCATTTTAAATTTTCTTAAAAATAATTTATTTTAATTAAATATTTACTTTAGTTTGATTTGACAATAAGGTATCTAATATTTTAATTTTTAAAATTCTAAAAATATCATATTAATATTTAATTTATTTTTATTTATCATGTTAATATTTAAGTCATACACCGTAAATAGTAAATAATATATAAGATTAATTCTGTGATAAAAATAAGGTAATATAGATACTTTCATTTTATTTTAATTTTTAAAATTGTTATTTGTCTAATATTTACATCAATCATATTTTACAATTTTAACTTTATTTTATAACTAACGTTTCATTTACATTAACTTTATTTTGTAATTATAGATTTATCTAAGAATTGAAGTTTTAATATGCATTATTTTCGATTATTTATTATATTTTGTGAGTCAATTTATTTTCTTTGAGCCTTGAAGTGTCATGGGGCACATAGAACTCTTTATTAAATATAGAAAAATTATCTTTGGGCATGAAATATGAAATATAGTTGTGTGGTCCAAGAAGGAAAAAAAATCTAATTAAACTAAAATCAATATTTTTATGATAAAACTTTTTAAAGAATTGATAAATGTTCATTGTATCTTAACTTAGGAAATTAGAAAAGCATTTAAAAGAATTGACAAACGATAAGAGAAAAGGTAAAATTCATGGATGAGAGCATGATTGGATCATGAATCTTGTACACCTGCATAGTATTGATCTCTAATTCATCAAGAGAAATTTGAAATCATTTTAAAAAATGTCTAAAAATGTAAAGACTCTATTTTAGGGTTTATTTATAGATTTCTACAAATAGTCAACGTGAGAGTCGAGAATATGGTATGTGTTCTCACTCACCTTTCAAAACGCTAACTATTTAGGATGTGAAGATGTTCTCAAATGAATGTTATACTCAATATCTAAAATATAAGAACATTTGTCCCATTGTGCCGCTTCCATGTTGAACTTCGTCAATTTCTTGCTTCCATGCTTTTGACACTTCATTTTCTTCTAACTTCTTTGCTTTTCTCAGTGTATGTAATTCAACATTAAATTGATCACTATTTAGTAGAAAACATGAACTAATTTCAATATTTTTAAGGAATTCTTTTTAGAAAATTCATTATTTTAGTCCAACTTTGCATATTTTTTCTTTATTATTTCAAATTACTGTCAAATGACTTTATAAAATTCACTTATATATGATGTGAATTTATCAAGACACTATAAAAGGATAATCTATTTATGAAAAAGAAAAATATACCTTGCATATTTAAGACCTATCAAAATTATTATTCATTCTCTCTTTTATTTTTGCATGATCTTTGTAATTAATTTTCTAACACACTTTATACAGTTTTACAAAAAAACATCTTTATTATTTCTATTTTTCTTTTGAATATATCTAGAAAGCAATACAGTCTTTTCTTTTTTTTCATCAACAAATAACATTGAAGTCTAATTTTCTATAGTTTACTGAAAGCATTTTTGAGACAAGTTAATTCACTAAGTTATAAAATTAGATGAGCTCAATTTTTTAACCCACTTTTGAAAATAAAACTCATCATATCTCATTTTGTTATGACTTGTAATAAGATAAGGTATGACAAATTAACCTGCTACGTTCATACTAAATTATGTCAAGTAAATACTTCTCTAATGATCAAAGAGATGAGAACTTTTCAATATATTACCCTTGTACTTAATATAGAACATTATTACATGTACACACAATACTTCTTCAATCAAAATCTTATTTTTATGCCAAAATAAAAGTGATTTCTTCATATACTAATTAATTGGTCAACTTAAATAAAAGGTTGCTCAATCTTAACTTACTTTTGAAGAATGAACAAGTCTCCATCTAAATTCACTAGATATTTTACAAGACAATTCTAAACATCCAATCCAACTAATTCGTTAAGACTGAAACTTGAGAACACTTAGGTCAACCAATATCATCATGCAATATAATTGAAGATTATTTCTTTTTGTACCATCATTAAATCTTAAAATATAATTTTTAAAGGAATTAATATTTTTTAAAATAAAAAATGGAATGGTATAGTTAAAAAAATGCACAAATGAAAATTAACAAGAATAAAATTCATGTTTTTTTTCTCCAATTAATTGTTAAAATTTGAATGAATTCAAAAATTTCAAAATTTCAAACTTGTTAGGTTGTTAAGTTTGAAACTTTAAAATAATTGGACTACTTGAACATGATGCATTTGATTATTTTTTTTACTTATAATTACTAGAAGTGAGTATATGCTTTTGTTCAGCAAAAGCCCACAAAATTGTAGACTTGAACTTAAAATTTATGAGTTAGCTCACATAATCCTCAAGTTAAATGGGTTTTCATAAGTGTGTGAGACATTATGCTTGACACATATAAAAATTATGTTATTTTTTACATTTAAAAAATAAAAGTAAATTTTACTATTTTTAATTATTTTAAAGTAAAATAATATAAATTAAAAAATTAATAAAATACTTTGTTTAGAAAATAGCATATGCAGGCCAACTCACTTAATGACATGCCCATATAAATTTATTAAATGTTGATCCATTTAAATATAGAGATATGTTGTCGAATTAAAAAAAAAATAAAGCACATACCTAAATAGATTTTTAATTACAATAATATAATTTTAAAAATTATTATTAAATAATATTATTTAAAAATTAATTACTAAAATGGGTGAATTTAACTGTGTTTAAAAAATATCGAATAAAAGGAACAAGTGTCATATACTAAAATGTGACATGTATCATACTTTAGTAAGCAATTCGCAGTAGATATGTGTCACATAACGCAATTCACAGTATGAATGTGTCACATGACGCCTTCAGAGTGTGTTATTCCTTTTCATTTTATTCTACACATTAAAAATTTCACACATAATACATTTTGAGTGTTACGTTTCTAAGTATTGAAATTTTAATTTTAGTTTTTCTAACATTTTAATAAAAATTTAAAATTAAAATTTTAGTCAAAATGAGAGAAAAGCTAAAATTTAAGTTCAAATTAAAATTTATTTGATATGGGAGGGGAACTAATTTAAATTTACATGAAAAAGAACTAAAATTTAAATTTTCAATTTAAATATTTATTAACATGAGAAAAACTAAAATTCACATTTAAATTTGAATTAATATAAAATAAAAGTAAAATTTTAATATTAAATTTTAGCTAAAATAGGAGGAAAAATAACATTCAAATTTTAAATTTTAATTTTAATACTAATAGGTAGCACCCACATGTGTCATGTGACATGTCACATTAAAACTGACGCATTTCACATTCTGACATACATGGTTAAATTCATTTTTTTTTTAAAATATATTATTTTAATAGATAATTTTTAAAATTGTATTATTATAAATTAGCCCATTTAACTGCAAGGTTGTACAAGGACACTTCGTCTGCAGACTCGCCTACAATTATTGTCACTGTTTTTGTCCAAACAACTATTATTTTTAATGTAGAAAGAATATCAAACATATCATGTTAAATTACAATATAATGAAACAGTAGAAATGTGTCCAACCAACCATTTTCTTTCCCCTTTTAATGCTACTTTTTTTAAAAAAGAAGCACAACAAGATTATTGAATCTATATATGTTGTGTCTAACACAACTCATCCTATACCCTTATTAGTAGGAACCCCATCCAGCAGGTTTATCCGTATCCATCTGAGGAATAGACAAAGCCAAGTTTGATGCTGGCTGAAACCATCCAAGTTGTTCTATGAGTCTCTTCATCAATGCACCAGCCACATAAGTGAGTAATGAGGCCAATATTCCACAAGTGACATAGAAAGACACAGTTTTGATGTATGTAACGTAAGTGTTAGGTCTCTGGATATAAGCTTTAGCAATACCAAGCAATGTGATACCAATTAAAGAAGCTCCTGCAACTGCTGCAAGCTTGAGATCCTTGTCATCACTCCCACGGAATGAGAAACCGTATACTATTGGTGGGACTAATCCAAATATAAGGAATGATAAGATAGCAACAAAGCCATGCAGAAGAAAATTTTCCCTCTTTCCCAATAATTCATAATATTTATCCACTTGTGCTATTGTTTCACCATTGGCTTCTTCTCTAGGTTGCGAAGCTTTTAAGTCCTTAAGCTGTAAGCATATGTATGTATAGGAATGAATTAATTTTAATGGGAAAAGTTAAATTATGTTAACATTTAAATACACTCAAAAGGACATATACAAAAGCAGCAAAAATCATTTCAGTGCTTCATTCATTCCCAACTTTTATGTGATTGTAACAATTATTGAATTTGATCCATCTCGATTTAAATCACTTCTTACTGAATCTGATTAAATTATTCTTTTGTAAAAATATTTTAAATATTTCTTTTTAATATTATGTCATTTAAATATGTAGTAGAAATAAACACAATGATTCAGTGAGAAACAATATTTTTTAAAAAACAATTATAAATAAAATATTTTCTAAATAACCAGTTTTTAAAGGAATGGAGTGCTTTAAAGTTGAACACAAGTAAACCTGAACCATTATTGTAACACCCACAACATAAGAAAAGCATATAAGGGGGCAAGGAAAGAAACAGCAAGTGAAATCAATCAATCATTTGAAGCCTTAAAATAAATATTTTGAACTAAACTTACATTATGGCCCAAGACGGAAAGTCCACCAATCAGATTTGCAATACCCAGAGCAACAATGCTCACTGCAAATACAAATTCAAGAATAACATTAGTCTCTTGACCAAAATCAAAAAAGAAAGAACAGAATAACATTAATCAACAAATTTATTAGCACCGGCTGAAGTTCATGATCCATAGGATAATTTTTACTTTCTGCAATTGTTTAACTATTTGGATCGATGCCTACCCTTTTGTTGGGAAAGTTACCTTTTCTACCATTGAATTATTAGGATTGTTAATTAAGTTATGCTTCAATTTCTTTACTGGGTATATATACTTATTTGATAAAATGTACATATAGCCAGTAAAAGACAGCAAAATATTATTTCAAGTAAAATGTATATAAAATCCATTCCGTAGTCTTGTTAAATGATAATTTAAAATAAAAAGGTAAGAAAATAAGAGAGAAAAGTGAATCTTAATTACATGTGGTAGCATCAGCACTTGCTGCAGATGTCACAACACTAAGGCTTGCTAATAGTTCAGCCAGACCACCATAGACCATGCTTTTAAGAATTTCCCATCCTTTGCTACTTCCTTCTGTTACGATGATTGGTGGTGTTACTGTTGGGCTAGACGAATCTGTCATAGTAATGGATCTATGATCTGGGCCTGACTCTGTTAAACAAATGCAGCCCATAATTTCATAGCATCAAATTAAATTAGAGTGAATATAATGGAATGATCATCTGAGTTATAGATTATTGTAATATTCAATTCTGAAAATGTTACAAATTTAGCAATAACATGACTCACAGAGTAATCCGCTACCAGTAAGAAATATGTATAAGGTTTAAATAGTTTTTAATCCCTAATTCTTATACGATTTTTTAAAACAAAATTGGAATTTATATTATCACATTGTTTACACACTGTTTTGTATTGGTTTATATACCTAGGCTCAGTATTGAAAATTCTGAATAAATACTTGTAAGAATAAAAATTACGTGATAATATGAGCAAAACTTCTCACATAAGTTAAAATTATTTTATATTTTTTTATTTTTTAAAAAGTAGTGTCATTTAAAGAAATAAGTTGTTTTTAATTTATAAAAATATTTATTATTTCTTATATTATTTTTTATAAGAATTTATTTACTAGCTCACTCAAACTAAGTCATAACATATATGTATAGAAAATGATCTTTTCATACTAGTATAAATTTAAAACTTAATTTGAACTTTTTATTTAACTTATATCTAACAACTAATAAAGTAATAAATTATAACTCATTATATATAAGTTAAATGAAAGGTTAAGATAGAGTGTAAAAATTTTTAGACTTATACAAGTGTAAAAAAATTCTTTTATATATATAATAATGTGATCATTAATTATAAATTAACTTTTAATCTTAATCATCGTACAATTCAAAAATCTTTCATAACTTTATAATTATTGTAACTACATGTGTCCAATAAGCATGAAACATTAATTAATGGTTGTAAACATAAGCAAATTTGATGAGAAAAAAATAATATATAAGACCAACCCAATTAGAAATTGTATGTTTTTGCAAAGGTATATTAAAAGTAGAAACCTATCAGAATTAAAAATGGGTGATTGAATTTATTTAAAATATTCATATGAGAGTCAAAGTGGTTTATTTGAAGAAAATATTGTATGTATATGTTAATATTATCCTTTATAATTATTTATGTCAGATAGCAACGGTGTGAAGTCAGCATATTTAAAACTAACATAAATAAATACTAGGGTTTTGTTATTTATTTACTAATGCAACAGTTTCATTTGTTTAAATACATGTCTCATAATTGGTTAGAATTACTTCTGATTCTCTGAGAGAGAAAGAAAAATATTAAAATCCATATAGTCAAACATCAATTATACGATTATGTCTACTTGCTCAATTAGTTAAATGGACAGAGAAAATAAATTACCTGGAACACGTGGTGATACCAACCCAGTTAAAAACTGTGTGCCTGTGAAAATCATAGAAAAATGTAAAGTTTAGGTCGTGTTTGATATTTTATACCAGTTAAAACCTGAAAACTATCAAATGCCAAATCAAATGTAAAATTTGATATTTTTTTATAAAATTTAATTAATGATAAAAAAATATATTAAAAAGAAAGAAATTAAGAGTGTATTGGTAGGGTCCTTCAGTGAAATATGAATTACCTTTTTGAATGAGTAAACTGAAGCATGCAGAGCATCTCACTGGACCTTCAATATCTGAGTTAGGTTCAGTATCTGGATTCCCAGTAACTGGACGTTCACGTGTAGTGCAAAAAAACACCTTGTCGATACAAACGTCACAATGGGGGCAATAAAATTCATGCTTTGGTGGCATAATGAACATCTTTTTCAAATATATTTCTCGTACTTCCTCCGCAGGTGACATGGCTATGCCTATAGATGCTCCATCTCGTACATTGATTAACGAATTAGAAGGATTGAAATAAAGACGAGGATCAGATTTTTCTTCCTTCTCCACATGCTGTTGGTCGTTTCCATCGTTCCCTCCTGTAGTAAACGTCTCGCTATATGAAGCAGCATCAACTATAATTAAATATGAACATTCAAAATTCGGATTAGCTAGGCTCTTTGCATGTAAAGTTTATATCCATCATCAATTTAGTTTTACCATTTTTTTTTCATATTTTAACGTACTAAATTTAGCAGGAGGGTAAATACACTTTAACTTATTTATTCGTTTTATATAAAATCTTGCAAGAAATTTTAATAAAATGGTAAATAATGATTTGACCGGAACGACCAAATTAAGTAAGCTACAGAACTTAAGCTTTAATTTTTAAGTCTAAATCAATTTTTTATTTTTTAATTTATCTCTTTAAGGAAAAAAAATGATTGGCTCTAGTTGGGTTTAAGTTTTTATTTTGTGACCCGAATAGAAGGAGGGCTTTTTTAACCCTTCCTCGTAGAGACTCGAGTTTAAATAGAGGTTGAATAACATGATGTATATATTTAAGTATGAAGCACGAGAAACAAGAAATAACATGATCAACAGCTGTGATTGTAAGAAAATTCAAGCTTACAAGTTAAACCTTGTTGAAAAATCATACAATTAAAATAGGATGAATTTTGCTTTCCAAATAAAATTAGAAAACCTGGTGCTGTTCCTGAATATTAATAAATACCTTTCATATGATCCCCATGAGTACTAAGCATTCCTCGCATTCCACTCTTATGAACCTCTTTCTTTTCGTCAGTCTCCAGCAGAGGCATTTTAGCAGCCATTATCTTTAGGCACTTTGATTGCTTTGATCACCCTTCACTGCCCAAAATGCATCGTGTCATGTTAATTTATAATGATTAGTGGGGTGAAGGCTTTGCTTGGTCATCTGAGACTTTTCAAGGTGTGAATGCAATTATAATTAAATATGTAGCACACGATATGAAAGGTTGACGATAATATCTGTGACATAACATGGGTTTTTAGAAGTGACGTTAGTGTTGTGGTCGTGGTTCTAAAGACAGCTAAGACACAAAAATATATATTTTAGTATACAGAAAAGGGCATCTTCCAACGTACAGTGCCAATATAACGACAAATATTGGTTGGTAGAAATGTGAAAAAAAGAAGATAAATATAAATACATGTAACGCACGTGACAGGAAGTAGTTTCAATTGCATCCTTATGATTTTCTTCGTCATCGGCTTTAAATTCGAAAACGATGAAGTAGATAGTAACAAAGATTGTGCCGATCTGTTGTGGGTTTCCTGGCATTTCAATGTCAGTTAACTAAGACCTCTTGTTAATTTTACCCAAACTTCACATTCTAATTATCGATACACATAAATTCCAGTCCATGAACACTGACGGATGAGAATTTTCTAGACTTCAAGTTCACTGCATTATGGGTAGTTCTTCATCTCACCATGCAATTTTATTTAGGTTATGATTGATTATTATAATAATTGATTATTTAAAATTTTATTTTTATGTTGAAATATGTTAAATAAAAATTTAATTTTAAAATAATCTATTGTGTTTGAATTATATAAGTATTGAAGTATGTCATATAAGTATTGGGTGATTGGACATAAGCTTTGGTAACGCCAGCCTCGTCGCTGGTAAAAAAAAAATTTTTTTTACATCATTTAAAAAAAATTATATTAAATTTAATTTAGATATAAGTGATGTAAAAAGTCTAAGACGTGATGTTCTGTAATTTAAAAAATTTAAAAAACTATAATTTTTTATACAAAATTTTAATTTTTACAAATTATATATCTATTTTTAAAAAATGATAAAACAAAAAATTATATAAAATAAATATATAATATAGAGTCCAATGCTAAAAGTTTTGTATATTCAAAACTTACAACTATTAACGTAAAAAATTAAATTTTTATATCAGTTATAAAAATAATAATGTAAAAAATTTGTATAAATTTTAAAAATGCTATCGCATTTTATTCTACATCAATTATTTTTAAAATTGATCTAAAAAATACTTTTCATATTAATTTTTTAACAATTGACGTAGAAAAATTGCTATAAATTTAAAAAATACGTAACATATTTCTTTCTACATCGTTTCACAACAAAAACGATGTAAATTTCTATCGTAAAAGGTGTTTTTTTTTTTAAAGTGTGAGATACAAATTGGAGAAGCTCCTGCAACTGCTGCAAGCTTGAGATCCTTGTCATCACTCTCATGGAATGAGAAACAGTATATTATAGGAGGCAATAGTCCAAATAAAAGGAATGATAAGACAGCAACGAAGGCATGTAGAAGGAATCCTTCCCAATAACTCATAATATTTATCCATTTGTGCATGTTTCACTGCTTTGAGGTCCCCTAAGCTGTAAACGTATATAGAAATTACTTTTAATGGGAAATTTTTTTTTTATGTAAACACTTAAGTACTAGAAAAAAGTACCAAAAAAACCCTCTCAAAATTAAAGTCATTGGGATTAGTACTTCCAATTGCGGCAAATCAATGTCATGCTTTACAACTACTTAAGGAATTTCATTTAAGTTATACTTTATACGGATTATATAGTTAACAAAGTACTAAAAAGTCTTGTAAATAACAAAAGAAAGTATACTGTTAGAAAATCTTATCAATATATTTATTTGTTAAAGTAAATAAATAAATAAATAATATCTGAAATAACATATTTTGAAAGGAATTCATGGAACTTTACATATATTAATGGCAAGTACCAAAAAGTTAATGCATGCAACAGCCAAAAGATAAGAACAAAACTGAGTTGGGGATTTGTAGGAGAGAAAAGTAAGAGGTGTAAATGAATTGAGACGGGGGCTAATGTAAACGAGCCAATCCTTTTCAAGTTGACTAAAATCACTTATCGAAATTATAGAAGCAGCTAAAATAATTTTTTATTAGTTTATATATATATATATATATAACTTTTTAATTCATTTTTTATAAAATTATAAATAAATTATACATAATTAGTTTGTGGTAATGGGTTTTACATTAATTAAGAAAGGAAAATTTCATTTTAGGTTATAAATGGTTTAGTAAGAAAAATATTTGAAATGATATTGTGAGTAATCGGTGGGTAACTCATCAAGAAGACATTTATAATGGTTGGTGAAGTCAATTATGTAGGTGTCTACGACTCTCCCAACCCAGTAAAAAGCTGTTTGCCTGCTCAAAAAAGACAAGATTGTGAAACAAGGTCATATATGATATTTATATTCAATTAAGAACTGAAAACAGAACATTAAATTATGGATTTGGATCCTTTCACGTTCAACATGAAGGTTATGTTCCATTATTTTTTTTATTCATTTAAGTAAGTAAAATTTTTACTTAAGCAAATGCAAAAATATAACGGAACATGACCCTCATATTCCACATTTAACATGAGGAGATCTGAAGTTTAAATTATGGCTTGAACAACTCATAATATAATAGATTTTTTTAATATCTTTCTATATATTTTTATAATTTTTTATTTTATAAAATAAATATTAAATAAAAATAATTATATATTTATTATCATGAAAATTTTAAAATATATTAATTTCTTTTTTCAATAATTAAAATTACAGGTATATAAAAGAATTTTAAAAACATAAAATTATTCAATATATTGTAAACTTAATTATGATTTTGGGCATTCTGTTTTGGTGATTATCTCAATTACATTTAAAGCATAACAAACTATCGACAATAATCACAAATGCCACCAATATTTTAGAAAAATGTGTTGCTTGTTTGCTGTGTGTCCAAAAGGCACAGTGCCTAATTAATTTATAATGATTTATGATGGCATTCTGAAGCTTAACTTGGTTATCTGATCGAGGTCTTCCATGGTGTGAATGCAGCAATGCACTCAATAAGAAGTTATACGTAATAAATGTTTATTAAAAATTTTAAAATTTAATATAACTCAATATTAATAAGAATTTTGTTAATTTCACACTTAATTTTAAATAATTTTTTAATAAAAATATAATAAATATTTTTTTATAAAATTTTACTATTATTAATTGTTTATATTCAAATTGAGTTTAACAAAATTCTATTAATAAATAATATAATTTTTAAAAAAAATTATTATAAATAAATTTTTATTTTGTATTTTTGTATGAATTTGAAATGATAAAACATAAAAAAATCAATTATACTATAAATAAAAAAATTTATTTTTAAATAAAAGAAAGGTAAATATTTTTTATATATAAGAAGAAACCTACGTATAATAATGTAAAAAAAAATTGTATTGTTCTCCTACAAATTGAAGTCTTTGCTAATTCTTAATTCCAATTTTTGTCAGATAAATTACTAATCTGCAACTTTATTTTTGATAAAAAAATAAATTAAAAAATACTTATAACTTTTAATGAGTCCAAGAATAAATAACTAATTTTTTATTAAAAATTTTAATATTTAATGATATTATTGCATTGAATTATTAGAATTTTGTTAATATTAATCTTTTAAAATTAGATTTTAAACTTTAAAAATTTAAAATTAATAATTTTTTATTATATAAAAATATATTTGTTACATTTAAATTATAAAAGTGCATTAAATGATTCTTCTTCTTTTTTAATAAAATTTTACTATTTAAGAGTGTTAAGAATATTTTTTTTAACACAGTTAATTATTAGTTTAAATTTATTAAAAATTATAAAAGTATAAAAGATAATCATTAAATTTAAAATAAGAAATAGTAAAATCTATATAAATTTTATAATTTTTAATAAATTTTAACCAATAACTGAATATATTAAAAGTGTGTTGTTAACTTTTTTTTTTTTTACTATCTATAGTTGTTTAAACTTAGCATTAAGATTTTTGAACTTATTATAAATAAAATCTTATTATTTTGTCACTTTTTTTTATGAGGCATATTTTAATACTCATTATAATTAGAATTACATAAATTAATAAAAATATAATTTATTTTTTTAATATCATAAAAATAACCTTATTTAATACAATTAAATTTAATTTAAAAATTAAAATTATTTTTAAATTAATTTTTTTAATTCAAGTTTCTATCAATTTTATATATTAAAGACAAATAAAAAAAATACTAAATACTTCATCGAAACTTTAAAGGCCTAAAGCTTAGATGAAAAAGTAAAAGTACTTTATTATTTATCGATTAAAGTTAAAATTTTAGTTTAGTATTTTATTTAATAAAAATTAACATTTGATATATATTATTAAATAAAAATTTTAATCTTAACTTAAAAACAAAATTAAAATTATATATCTAATTATAGGTAAGTTTTATTTGAACTATAAAATATCTTATAAAATATTATTAAATTTTAAAAATGTACCGATAAAAATATATTTTTAGACCCATTAAAAAATCATAAATATTTCTTATCTTGTATCTAAGTTTAGTAATTTACATAATGTGAAGACTGAAAGGTTGACCTGAGCAAATGACATAGCTGGGGCTTTTGGGGGGTGGCGTCTCAGAGAGGACAGTTAAGTCCAACTCCAATCAACGCGGCGAAAGAGTCATCTTCCAGCCGTACCTACCAGTCGTGTAAACGGTAATAAATATGAGAAGCTAGAAATACCTAACTTGGTAACCAGGGTTGTTAAGGCTTTTTATAATTTTTTATTGTTTTTTAAAACAAATTATCAAAGTATTGTATTTTGAAAACTAATTTTCTGCTTGAAATAATTTTAATCACATGTCAAAAGTTTTACTAATAAGTATAGCCATAAAATTGAATAAGAATTAGAATCACGTTAATGTGACAAAAGTAAAGTTATTAAAAGATCA